GAAGCCACATTTACTTTTTGTTTCGAGCCGGCCAGCCGCGGCTGGCTGGTACTTGGCCGAGAGACGCTCGCAATGCATTTTTTGCGGTCCCCTCTTTGGCCCCAAGCAGGCAGGGAGTTGAGGGAACCTGCTAACAAACTCGCAAACACATAGGCGGTTCGGTTAGGCGGCTGGGTGGGAAAGCACAAAAGCGGCAAAACCCTTATTGCTGAAAGGGAACTACCAAAAAAGGTGCCCTTTCGCCAATGGGTCAATGCAAATTACTAAACAATCTGGTGGCTTGCGGCAAACTACCAATCCACCAATCAGAGGGAAGCTGATTCAGCATTTCCGTGTTTGGTACTTTGGAATGGAGGTTTGAAGGCTAGGGGGCTCCTTCCCATTGGCTGGTTTGTTGGTTGTTGCTCGGCTGGTTGGTCGGTTTGGTTGGTTTGGTTGGCTGGTTGGTCGGTTTGGTTCGTTGCTTGGTTGGTTGGTTGGTTGGTTAGTTGGTTGGTTGGTTGGTTTTAGTTAGTTGGTCAAAAGGCGTCTGCGCCGCGCTGGCCGGCGCGGAGCTGTGGCGCAGCGCGTTGCAAGCGCTGCGGCTGCGGCGCCTGGAGACCGACGTGGCCGCCGGCTCAGTCGGGACGATCGGGACGATGGGGACGGGAAGGTCGGTGGTGGGAGGTGTGGTTTTGGGGTTGGAGGTGGCAACTTGTTTTTCAATATGGTGGCTGTACAGTGGTCACTGCAATTCCCCGAGGTGGCATGGTCCAATGGCTATTTGAAAGTTGTGTCTTCAGGCCTTATGGGGCCAAAGGGGCCTTCGGCCTCCTTTTTGCAGGGCTGCGAAGTTCCATATGGCTGAAGGACATTTTGAAGGTTGCTACTTTTAGTAAAGTGCCGTAGTGATGGAATGGCCCACTTTGGCAGTACAAGGGATACAGCCAATGGTCCGAATGGCTCCCCTTGTCCCGCATGAGCTTTTTATAGGGGGTGGTGGCCTGTAGGAAACCATGCGGCACCCCCAGGGCTTTTGATTTGGCAAGCAGAGCAAGTTCCCTTTGAATCAAGTTGTCTAAACAGTGTGTTTTGTTGTAGTGGCAAAGGATGGATCAGGTGCTTTCTCCTTTTTCCCTGTTATATTTCTCTAGGATACCGCGCGAGAAGTTTTTTTTTTTTTTTTTTTTTTTTTTTTTTTTTTTTCCGATCTGGTGTCCCTTTGCCTTAGCGGTGTGTGCGTGTCAGCGGAGATTCTTGGTTCCTTGGTTTTGATCCCCCGGCAGTCGCAATGTGCCTCGGGCCGTGGGCCATGGGAGCCGGCCGTTTGGCCGAAGCCTTCTCGAGGTGCGCTACACCACGGTCGCTCAGTCATGCAAGCAGCTGGTCCCTTCTCACGAGTCTGCATCATGCCATAGCAAGGGGCAGGGCGGAGTTGCAATCCTTTGGGCTCGTCTTTTCTGGGAGCCCCCTTTTGGTTGGCTTGAAACGGGCAAAAGGAATCTTTTGGTTGGCCTACCTTTGACCACCTATTTAAGATGCCGAGGTCTTGGGCTCTTGCCCTTCATCCTGCTGGCCGACTTCACTGGAGTTGGCGGCAGAAGCTTTGAGTCATCTCTTTGAGTCATGTGCGGTTTTCCTCCCCGAAAGCTGAGAGCTATGGCAGGGGTCTTTGCCAAACAAGCGTCGGAGTGATCCGGAGCAGCTCCACGGCAGGGTCCGGAAAGGTTGTTGGAGATGCAACCTGCTGATTTGCCCAAGTCGCGCTTTGCAATATGGTTCCCCTTTGAACCAAAGGCCCGCCGCCATTTTGGGGTGAACAACTCATGTCCTGAGTTTGCTGCGCCGCACAGATGTGGCCGATGCATGCTGCGTCAATCCTGTGCCTATGGCCTTGGTTCCGCCAGGTGATATGTGCGCCTCCTGAGTTTTCGGCCCGCCAACTGCCCCAAGTTGAAGCGGGATCGCACACGCACATTTTGTTTTCTTCCTCCTGCCTATCGCACCCTTCCGGATTCTGCTTCTTTAAGGCAAGCATTTTGGTGTGGGGGCGTTCTTGCAAGCAGCCTTGGAGGTCATCCCAGTCACCACTCAAAGGACGATTGAGAAGACCCGACAAACACGAAACAAAGTAACGCCAGCTGCGCCCGGAACCCGACGCGCGCCCAGAACGCCCAGGAGGTGCCGCGTCAGGGCATCGCCCCCAACCCGCTGCTGCGCGCGGCCCTGCAGGGCGTCCTCTCCGCGCACGGCTGGCGCCGCTCGTGGCAGCTGCTGGCGGATGGCGGAAGCGGCGATGAGTCGCTGGTGGCTGCGACGGAAGCGCTGCGGCCTTGGCTGCAAGAAAAAAAGCAAAGTTTTAGCCAAGAAGGGTTGGGTTGGGCGTATCCTTTCAGGAGGGTTGAGCCCGAACATACTTGGCTTGGTTGGTCATAGCGCTTTGGCTGTTGGAGAGAGTGCTGCGTTTCCAACATGGAAAGCAAGCCGGTCCATATTCTTTGCAATTTGGACGAGGGCGGTGTCAGAGGTGTTCTCTTGTATTTCGGAGGGCGTAGCCTCCGCTTTTGACTCTTTTTGCAAATTCGGCTTTCCTTCATGTTCGCGTGTCAGTCTGATTCAAACGCAAAAGCTGCAGTAGCACAGTGACTATATAGCCGCAGTATACCCTTGCTCTACTCTTGAGGATGGTGGTTTAGCTCACTGACGCGGTGGAAACCTTAGAAGGATTTGGGTTTGCTTGCGGGGGGAGTGAGGCAAACCAAAGTTGTGGTGGTTCTTTTGGTTCCCTCTTCAAACCCACCTGAACAGGTGGTACCAGTACCAGTACCGCGAAACCCACAGTTCGTTCTCTTTTTGGCTCCCCCTTTAAGAACCAACCTACCAAAAGGGGGGGGGCACCAGCTGAAGCCAGAATCCGCAGCTTCAAGTCCCTGGGCTGGAGGTGTGCGCGTGTAGGGCCCTGGGTGGCAGCGCGCCTGGAGAAGCCGCTCCGCGCCGAGCTGAAGACGCCGCAGGAGGCGGGGTCTCGGTTGGCCGGGGTTTTGTGAGCCATTTCTCTAGGGGTTGATTCCTTGTCCATTCTTTTCAGCCATCGTTCTTTTTAAAAGCCGGGTCCGTTTCCTTAGGGTGTTTGGTGGATTTCTAGAAAGAAGGATCCCTGGAAAGAATGGGGAAGTTACCCCTAGAATTTCCCTTTACATAAAGGGAGCCTCCAGAAGTGGCGATCGTTTCAAGGGAAAGCACCGGTAAATCGATCGACTTGCGAACGCAATGTTTTATGATTGAATACGGATTAGATGAACCTAAGCCAAGAGGATTGTGCAACTTGGCTCAACCTTGGGTCCGGCATGGGTCTGGCATCATCTGGCCAGGACTACGGCCAGGCCATCGCCGCCTGCGAGGCTTTGGCCTGGTGGGGGCGCTTGGCGTGTGAGGACCGGGCCGCGTTTGGGCGCCGGGTCTACGCGCCCGCAGTGGGGCGGCTGAGGCTCTGCGCCGCTGGCGGCGCAGGCTTGGGTGGCGGTTTCTTCTTGGTGGACGGGGAGCTGGAGAAGAGGTTCAGCCTGGGGGTGCTGTGCTCGAGCGCGCTGCGGGAGCTCGAGCTCGGCGAAGTCGGGGCGTGGCGCCTTGCGGCGCAGAAGGCGACGCGAAGGCGCCAGGGGGTGGTTGAGGGCGGCCTGGAGATGGAGCCGTCGGCGCAGGCGGTGCTGGCGTGGTCGGCCTGCTGGTTGACAACCGGCGCTTTTCGCGTGGGAAAGGTTTGGGGCGTGTGGCGCTCGCAGCCGAGCGGCGTTGAAGCGCCTAGGGGTGCGGGGCACTGGGGGCGCTTGCGGCCGGTCTTCGCGGACCACGACCGCTCGGGGCACGCGGAGCGCCGTGCCTTGCTGCGCATTTTGGAGGTTCTTCACGCGCGGGATGCCAGGTGATTCGGGTGCCCATCAGCCTCTGCTGTTCGAGGCAGTTGTGCTCGTCAACCTGAGCTGCGACCTCCGCGCTGCTCGACTTTGGCTGCCCAGATGGGTTGCGCCAAGATATGCCGAGCTTGGACCTCCAGGCCTGGCTTCAAAGATGCCACCGCGATTGCAGTTCCGTTGGGGAGATGTCGCAAGTGTTTTTTGCCGGCGGGCGGGGAGGAAGGGGGGTAAACAAGGGGCCCCAAAAACACCATCATCCATTTCTAGAGGCATCCGCTTTTCTAATGATCCCGATCCCCTTCTTGGGTGTTATTTTTCAGTGGGGAGCGGCCAGTGGCAGATCTTGTCTCGGCCCCCGTCAGGCGTGTGTACGAGGAGCCAGGTGTGAGGGCTGCAGTGCAACGCACTGAAAGGTGTTCCACACGATTCTGGGCCGTTCAGGTTGCGCATTCGGCTTGGTCGCCCGTGAAGAGCGTGGCCTTTGACTTTCTTCTTCCAACGTCGAGTCATGTCGGGCCAATGCGGAACAACACCCGCGTCAATGTCCAGGAAGCACAGCGTTTTTCGGAGTGCGGCCCGCCAGCACCGCAGATCTGTACCCCATGAAGCTCGCGGAAGGGGCTGTTGGAAGGCGTTTAAGGCCAGAGCTGCGAGAAACAAGCAAGCGGGAAAAAAAAGAAGAAATGGCGGCGGCGTTTATATATGGTGTGCGTGTTGGTTTGGGAGTCATTTTTTGGGGGTTCCCTGAAACAAGGCCACACAGCTCACCTGGTTACATTTGATGAACCAATCTTGCTTGCCAAGACGATCAAACATCCAGTTTGTTCCCTTGGGAAAGCCAAGGGGGCTCTATGATTTTTTTTCGTCTGGCAGACGGATTGGTCGGACCCCCGGCCCCTGACCATGTTTGGCAAGCCTAAAATCGTGTGAGCCTTGGTTGGTGGGTGATTGGGATTTGAACGCCTGATTCTTGTAGAGGGTGAACGGGAAACCACCCCAACAGCAATCCAAACCACAGATTGGGGGAGAAGCTGACAAAACAAGTCGCGATGCCGTTTGCCCCACACCTGGGCCGATTGTTGCACCGCCCCAGCGCCGGCGAGCGAGGTCATGCAGCCACCCGCTGCTGGGGATGCCCCGGGCCCAGATCGTTTTTTTGGGCTGCGACATTTTGATGCAACCACCCCAAGGGGCATAGCAGATGTTTGAAGGTCTGATGAGTTTAAAGGAAACCCGGGCATTCGCCAGGCAATGAAATGGTTACGGGGCCTGTGAAAGTCAGCAGGGCGTTTCCCCTCAGCCTACCACTCGGCCGTGACTTTGATGGCTGGGACCTTGTTTCACGTTCATTGCTTACTTCCGGATCCAGCTCTAGAGAAAGCTGGCCAGAGGGACCAAGCCAGTCTGAATTGAACCATCATTGGTTTTTTGCTTTTTGGCATTTTCTTCCGCCAGTTTTGTCAGGGTAGGTTGCTGTTTGTGGGGTGGGGTGACTGCAATCCTCGCCTTTGGAGCCTCAAGGTTCAAGAGCATCATCGCAGAAGTGGCGCCGGGCGCTTGGCCGCTTCGAGCGCTTCGAGCTGTGGCCTGTAAATGGGCCCGTTAAAAGATACATTTTGCAACCATTTGAAACATGGCTTTTTCCACGAAAATAAAGGGAACCCACCATTTGCAAGGCAATGTTCAGGTGATTAAGGTAAGGATCCATGTAAAAGGAGGCCTTGCAGATTTTTTGGCGTGAAACGGATTTCGCGAACATCTACTGGATGCCCCCTGCAACCAAAACAGGACCAACCATCTATTGGATTCTTCTTCGTAGATATCAACAAGCAATGGTTCCAGCCACGGTTTTTCAAAATGCCTTTGAGGGGATGTCGCAAGCCTCCCATCCCGCACTGTGTAAAACCCTCGCACGTGCCCCAGGCCCCCAGGCCCCCAGGCCGACTCGAGCCGAGGGCCTGGCCCCAAGAGCCGCGGCTGGAAGAGGCCGCCGCGCGGGGGCGCCCAGGCGCCCAGGCGCCCAGGCGCCGGCGGCCGCGGTGGCTGGTGGGTTTTTGGTTTGTCGAGATGGTTGGGTCGTGCGGGTCTCGGGTCTCGGGTCTCGGGTCGCACGACCCCCCGCAAGAAACAAGTAAGGCCCCTCCCCCCCGCGAAAGTTGGACATGATAAGTTCCGCTTCCCTTTGCAGAACTGTTTTTTTTTTTGTTTTTTTGTCTCTCGAAAAGAGAAATTCCGAGTTGAGCACGGACCATTTTACTTTGGCAGACTGGTTTTCCCCCCTTCGCCCAAAGGGGGCCCTGTTCAAAGGCCCAGATTTTCCTGTAAATCTAGTGGAAACAAACATAGGGGATGTTAAGCTACGTTGTTTTTAGGGCCTTTGAAATCTGGTGGGAAAAAGCCGTTTCCTGATTTCCCTTTGAAACATAGGGGATGTTTGAGGAGCACGGTCCGAGGCCCTTGGCTTCCCGAGGCTTGCCGGGCGGCACCTGCAGCGTGCTCATGGCTTCGCCTTCCAGGCGGGCTGCCGACGATTTCCGTGTTGCAAAGGCTTCCTTGTGACCCTTGGGTCGGCGGCTGCTATTTATTCATGGTCGGAGGAGGCTGGGAAGGGGACGCTCTGGCGCCCTGCGCCCGACAAAAAATGGCCGGCGCGATGGGAAGAAAGTGAGCAATGGAATGGCCCCCCCAAAAAAATCCATCCCTTGTGGTTGCTCAAGCACGGGCGCCCAAAAAACTTGCTGGTGCGATAGGCATGATGGAATGAGAATTGGAGTGACTTTGAGACAAACCATCCAACTGGTGGTTTCCTTTAAGGGAACCGCAGGGTTCATTCCCTCATTCCCTCAAGAGAACCAGCCAGAAAGGAAGGAAAGTGGGGTGGCTTGTTGCAGGCCTAGTTACTTGCTTTGAGGGGATGAAGTGGAATTGCCGCTCTCAAGTTCTGCTGGACTTTGGGCCTGAAAGCCAAACTGGCTGGTTGGCTCGGGTTTCGCTCAGGGCTAAAGACTGCATTTGTGGCGGGCCGACACCTGGAGGAGTTCCCCCCTCCAGACCCTTCCAACCCCCCCAAAAAGCATCTTGGGGTGGGAAGGCTTGGAGCAAAGTTGTGCCGCTGCTCCAAGCAAAAACCCTCGTGAGCACGCGCTGTTCGGATCGATTTCTTCGGTCTTCGGATCGATTTCTTCGGTCTGAAGGCCCAGGGCCTTCCGAGCTTCATGTCTCGGATGTCCGCAGGAGCTGCTGCGCTGGAGCGGCCCACATAGCATCGAAGCAGGCGCGAGAGACCCTGCGGTTGAGACCCTGTGTTTGAGAACGCGCGAGGCCGGGCTTGTCGGTTCAGGCCAAGCCCAGGAAGCAACGTGGCCTTTTGAGCTTTCTTGGCTCGAAGCAGCTCACTCTGTAGCTTTTCTCGGATTGTGCATGGACCGATGTGACCTTTCATTCAAAAGTGGCTCCCAGCCATTTTCTTAGCTTTGTAGCCTTTAGTGTTTAGTGGGGGTTTGCATTTAACCCAACAAAAGTTAAACTTTTAGCGGGGGATCTGAGGACAGCCCAGTAATTCAAAAGTGGCCGAGCCTTTTACTTTCATGCCTTTCGGGATGACAGCTCTTTCAGCCCGTGAGTTTGGTTTTGCTCTTCGGCAACCCTGCTGGGAGCATGGAGCTATGTCGACGTCAGCCACCGACAGCAAGCGACGGCCCTGACAAAGTCTCGAGCGTGTGTGTGTGTGTGTGTGTGGGTGTGTGGGTGTGTGTGTGTGTGTGTGTGCGTGCGTGCGTGCGTGCGTGCGTGCGTGCGTGCGTGCGTGCGTGCGTGTGTGTGTGTGTGTGTGTGTGTGTGTGTGTGTGTGTGTGTGTGTGTGTTTTTTTGGTTTGTTTTGTTTTTATTCTTCTTTCTTTCTTTCTTTCTTTCTTTCTTTCTTTCTTTCTTTCTTTTTTTTTTTTTTATCATTCTTTGTTTGTCTTGTCCTGTCTTGTCTTGTCTTGTCTTGTCTTGGTTTGGTTTGGTTTGGTTTGTTGGTCTGTTGGTTTGTTTGTTTGTTTGTTTATTGGTTTGTTTTGTGCAGATGCCCTTTCAGACAAGCAAGCAAGCAGGGATGCGGGGAAGCAGGGATGTGGACATATTTCTCGAGTAATGTTTTAGACATGGTTCCTTTTCTGGGAGTCTTTGTACATCCCTGCTTCCCCGGTATCCCCACTAATTTGTTTTCCCAACTGAAATGCATGGTGACAGCCCTAGAGAGGGCCAACAAAGAAGGGGTTTGGGAGACCATTTTCCCTTTGGGGAACCTGTCCACTTCCATATCCGCATTGACGAAAACAGACACCCCCGCCTAAGTATGACTGGGAGTGGGATCCATTCTTCTACGCCAGGTCGCCGGCCAGACCGCGCGTGGGGGGTCCGATTTGGGCTGCTGCTTCCCTTTGCCCTATGCGGATGAGCATGCAACGACCCATCCAGATGTAGAGGTTGTTCAGTGGGATTTTATGGTGGGAATCAAATGTGGGCCCTTTGCAGCAAATTGTGGCGCGCTGGCTGTTGCTTGGATTGCAGGGTGGCGAGGATTGCATCGACGAAGCATGGCTAGCTCACAGATCCGGAGGAAAACAAGGTCGGGCTCCATGATGAAGGTCACTTGCCAGGTTCCAACAAATTTCCCTGTTTCCAGTGATAGGAGTCATCGTCATTTGGCCCAAGAATTCTCCGCAGCATCTTGTGCAGCCAGTGACGCCAGTCATACGGAGCTGGCTTCGGCACTTTTGAGACTCCCATCTTTCGGGTTTGGCTTTTGAGCCATTTTCCGGTTGAGAAGTGACAGGACGGCTGCTGAATGTTAATCCCCATTTTGCCCTCAACTATCAGAACATCTTTTGACAAACTATTAGCTTCCTATTGTTGGAAGCTATCCCGCTTCTTATTTTCTTCGCTTTCCTTTCATTCTTTTCTTTCGGGGGGGGGTTGTTGGAAGCTATCCCATTTTGCCGCCGGGTTTGAGTTTCGGCCGGTGGGAAGCGGGGGCTTCCCGACGAGATCCGTCCGAGGGCGGCCGACCACCGGGACGTGTACTTCTGCAACCTGGCCACCGGGGCTCGGGTCCTGGCTCGGCCCGGGCGTGCAAAAACACCGGGGATCCCCGATTTTGTGGTTTGGATTGGTGGATGTGGATTTGAAGCCCTTGTAGAGGGTGAACTGTGGTAGTTTCCATACCCAGGTCTGAAAGGGAGAGACAGAGAGCCCTGCTTTCTCCAGGTGTGCCACTTGAGACTGGAGGCAAGTCTCGATGTGCTTTTTTTTTTGCAAGGAATGCAGCCGGGAGAATCCACATGCGATGCTGGAGCAGGGAGCTCAGGAGAGAGGTGTGAGGGGTACGGTGCCGTTGGGTGGAAAGTCGATGGCGCAACTACTCAACTTTAGTTTCAGCACCCCTTGCTTAGCCAACAGCGAGATGTTTGTCATCTACTTTCACTCTTGTGTTCCCAGATGTTCCGTACCCTGAGTGGTTTGAACAAGACCTTTTTGGAAAGGCCAAAGCAGAAGGGGCGAGTTCGCTTTGGGCGTCGTGATGCTTTTTGTAGGTGGGGCATCTAGAGAAATCAGTGCTATCAAACACCACACTTTGCAGGCAGGAAACATAGGGGACCTTGTTACTTATAGTTTCTTTTTTCTTCTTTTTTTTGGGTTTCGTTCAGTGGCAATACTTTGGGGATAAACTGGGCGTGACGCTCAAAACTTGCCTGAAGGTAGGCTTTCAAACAAACCTCTCGGCATCATCAACGTGATACCTCGCACAAACTTTGGCGAGATCACCTAGGCCAAACAAAGATCGGACTTGGGGGGGGTTCCCTCCGATTTGTTTTTCTGTGTTGAAGAGGGTTTCCAGCTCAAATCGGCCAACAGGGGATGCAGTCACAGGCACGGAAATCCAGGAGTCCGGGAAGCTGAATCACTCCCAAAACAGGTTCTTAAGCAGGCTGGGGAAATATGGGTGTCTCTTGGAATCGATTTCTGGGAGATGTTCCTCCTAAACCATGCCGATCTGCTTCCTAAACATGCTAATGTTCTTCCTAGCTTTCCACCAATCCCTAAACTGCTGGGTGCTTTCCCTAAAAACCTGCTGGCTTTCCTCCTAACAAATGCCTGGTTTACCTTGTGGCGCCCCTTGGCATCGCCCAAAAGGCGCCCTCCGTCTCCTCCGGCGCTCGGCTCGGGCCGTCCCTCGCGCTCGATCTCCGCAGCTTCGAGCTGCGGCAGCGCCGCAGCTTGCTGAGCCGCTGCCTGGCGGCCTTCCCTCCGCGCGGGGCCTCAGGACGGCGGCGCGGGGCCCGGCAGGTTGGCGTCAAAGGGAAGACGAGAGGAGAACCGAAGACGACGCTTCTTTGGTTTTGGTCGGGCTGTGATTTGTTTTGGGGGTTTGTAAGATGTGAAGGAAGGGGAGTCATTGTTCTGACAGGTTCTGGGGCCGGAAGCCACTTTTGGGGGGTTTGGGCCAGGAAGGCCTTTTCAGCTTGGCTTGGGCTCCGAAAATTCGCCAATACACGTTTGCAAGGCGGCATGTGCCCCTGCCACAACTCAATGAAAAGCTGAAGTGAACCAGTCACAGTGGACAGGGAGTTTAGCTAGCAACAAGCTCAGACCCGCCTCAAAAAGTCGCGCCTTACATCCGCTCGAAGGACTGCAGATTTTCATGAAAATCAACAAAGGGTCAACCTCTTTAAGACAGGGCTCCTTAAAAGATACATTTTGCCCATTTGAAACATGGCTTTGTCCACCAAAATGAAGGGACACCACCATTTACAAGGCAATGTTCTTTTATTTGTCCTTGCTCCTGTTTTTGGAGCAACCCTTGTTGGTCCGGAAGCCAGTTTGGGAACACCTTCAAAAGGATGATATGAGGGACCCCCCGTAAAAAAGTCGTGGTTTCTCTTTCTTTTATTTGATTTCTTTTCGAGGTTTTCAGGGGCAACCAGCTGGAACACCACAAGGTAGTACTCCAGAATTGGTTGTCCTTTTGGTTTTTCGATCATTCATATTCGGGTTCCAGCCGTTTCGGCTTACGCTTGGCTGCCGCAGAGATTTGCAGGAAGCCATCCACAGCATGGGGCATGTGCTGGAATTTCAAGCAAATGCCTGCCTGCACATGAGCGTGTCGTTTGAGGGAAGCCAAGAGTTTCAAGGAAAGACACATAGCCACGTTTCCTGGTGTCCCTATTTGAGACACACCTTTTTTCCCCCCCCCTCTCTGCACGGATGCATATGGTAGCTGAATTCAGCAGAAGGCCACCAAGACGGAGTCATTCCCCGCATGCTTCCGTTATGGGGAACGCACCCAGAACCAAACAAGCTTGGGTCCCATGAGGCTCCCTTACTCATGATTTGGCTCTTGTTTTTGAGTTCTTTGTTTGCAGGCGCTGGCCACAAACCACGGGGCCAGAGCGATCCCTTTTGGAGTTGGGGCTAACACCTCACGCAGAAACCGGGCAGACAGCTTCGTTTAGCCAGTTTCGTGATGGAGCTCCTGCGTTGTGTGGCTCAAGTCTGCTGCGGTGAGCAGCCGCAGGCATCCCCACCTATAGAGTTGGGGTAGGGGAGATTTTTCAACAACCCTGGAGATCGGCATTTATGGCGAGCCGTTTCCCTTTTTTGGGGCAGACGAGACAAATGGTAGGGACCCCGGCTCCCTGCCCCTTGGATCTTTAGACTTTAACTTTTTGGGAAATATTGGGGTTTTCCACCAAACCCCCAAACTTTTTGCAGGGGGGTCAAGAGCAACCAAGCTTCTGGTGGAGAAAACTCCGCAGGCGTCGGCCGCTGCGGGCATCCCGCTGCAGCGCGTGCTGCCGCTGACTCCCACGAGAGCCTCCCGGAGGTCGGCGCCGGTGTCGCGCGTGCCGCTGACCGGGCGCAAGAGGCGCGCCTCATCAACCCTCCCCTAGGCTAGCATGGAAGCTCCCAGGACCCCTTTTGGAAGACTTGGTTGGTTCCATTTACGCTTCCATGTTAGTCTGAGGGTGGGAACCCGCGATCCACTGGGCTCTTTGCCTCGCAATGGATCCGCGTAGTTGAAGCAGTAACATGGCCATGAGTTTTTTAGCAGGGAACCACCTCAAAAGTGATTGGTGGACATAAATCCCCACCTAAATGATGTCCATCAAAGGGCCCCGTATTAAACATTTATGCCCACATCCTCAAAGTTGCCCTCTCGAAGATTTTGGCTAGGGCGAGCGCCTGAAGACGCATGGGGATATTTGTGTTCTTGTTAATCCGTTTGGTTGACCATCCAAAACAAAAATCTCATAAGGATTGAATAAGTCTTGGTGCTTTGGAGCTTAGCAGAGCTACCTTCCCAGTGCAAAGAACGTTGCAACAAAGGGTATACAAAGAAACCCAGCCACCACTCCAAACCACAATTCACTGACTAGGAGCCTGCTGGTGGGCATCAACTACTTTGGCTCCCAGAACGAGCTGCACGGCTGCGTGGCGGACGTGCAGCGCATGCTGCCGCTGCTGGATGAGCTCGGCTTCCCGAACGATGAGGAACCGGGAGAACTTTGTTGAAAAAGAATCTTGGACTCTCTTGTTTCACAAGCCTGGCACGCTCAAAGTCGCCACTCCCCATTTCGGTCTATGGTAGTCTCTTCCCAAAACGTATGTCTGTGGATGGGCTCCTTTGCTGCAGCCTCGCCTTGTTCGGTTTGGACCTTTGATCCGCGGAGGAGAGCCGCCGGGTCATGGTGGATACCCCCGAGTGGCCGGCACACTTGCGGCCCACCTTGGCCAACATGCGGCACTCCATCGCCTGGTTGGTTGCGGGCGCCCAACCAGGCACCAAACGAGTTCGCCCAGAGAAAGGTACCCTTGTTCTAACCTCTCTACTGGAGGACCTAGAGACAGTTTTTGGCGCCGCCTTTGGCATGGCCTTTGTGGGAAGACGAGGCTCTTGTTTGTGGTCGCAGGAAGGCTTGAGGACGTGAGCAGTAGATTCAGTAGATGCCACAACTCCCTTTCTGTTGCTAAGTCAGCGGCATGATGAAACCATGGGTTGGAATTGTGGCATCCCAATGCGGATGGGGTTCTCACAGCTTGATTAGGCGGCGCCAGTTCAAACCACCGCTGGGGGAATTTTTGGGATGTCACTTGTATGGAGCCCGAGGGTTGGAACCCCAAGTTGAACCAGTCCCAACCCGCAGATTCGGATCTCCAATCGATGTTTTGCACCCCCACAGCACAGTGGTTCTGCAGTGGTTGTATACCCCACGGTTACGCTTGGGTGTAGTGGGCACCATAGAAAAGCCAGACCCAGGTTGGGTTCTGGGTCTGGCACAGGGGATGCCCTGCTCTTCCACTACTCGGGGCATGGCGGGCGGATGCCCCGGGACGACGGCAAGAGCGAGCCTGGGCCCAGGTAGAGGGGCTTTTGGGGGTACTGCTGGGATAGGGTGCTACACGGTGGCTGCCCCTGCCCATGTTGCAAGTAGGGGAAGAAGGACACCTGGACCTGGTAATTTGCCCGGATGTTTTTTCACGGCGTGGCTGAGTATGCTTGGCTTACCGGCAACTTTTGGGGCATTTACTGCATATCCATTTGCGCACCTTTGTCTATGCCCAAGTATTATTGATTATGTAGGCCTCGAGGCACCTATGGGGTTTACCTCTTTTTTCAGGGGTACGTACGTGGTTAGTCGCTTGCCATCCTACCTGTGGCGAAGCACAAAGTTTCCAGGTTGATCCAAGATTAATTTAGCCCTGGTTGATTTTGATCGGGGGTGTCACCTTCTGGTGGGGGTTTATGACACTTTTGGAGGGGAACACCCCCGGCAGGGAGACTGATATGGCCCAAACACACGCCCTTTTAACAGCTTCTCTGGTGATGTGGTTGATTCCCAGCAACGTGCAAGTGGGCCTGACAGGCCGCGGACCAGGCTTGCATCCAAGTTTGGGGGTTGGAGGACCTTCAGCTTGGTGAAGCCCTCCCCTACAAATGAAAAACGTAAACCAAAAAAGGGCGCCCCCCCAACAGCAGCTTCATCTGAGAACCGCGGTTGTGAGGCTCCAGGTATGGGGGTCTTTGGTGCAGCTCGGATCTTGGGTAGAGGGCTTTGAATTCTTTGGGCGTGTCTTTCCTGAGGCTTCGGCAATGGGCAAAGCAACCAATGGAATTCTTGCTTCCTTTCCAGCTCTTCAGGCTCTTGGTGCTCTTTGAAGTGGCAAACAAGCTTCTTTGGCCAATCCACTCAGGAAGTGAGAACCGTAGACTGGTTCTCAGGAAGTGAGGAGGGTCCCCTCAGACTGGTTCGAGGAAGTGAGAAGGGTCCCCCTAGACAGGTTGGTGTTTCTTAGTCAGAAGCGAGGAGTGGCATGAGACTTTGTGCCCGGTGGACTTGGAGTCGGAGGGCATGTTGTTGGACAGCGAGCTCTTCGAGACCTTGGCGCCCTTGGAGCAAACACCGCTTCGAAAGCCGAGAGGGTTGAGAGAGATGCGGGTGAGAGGGTGGGGAAGGAAGGGTGGGTGGGGTGGGGTGGGGTGGGGTGGGGTGGGGTGGGGTGGGGTGGGGTGGGGTGGGGTGGGGTGGGGTGGGGTGGGGTGGGGTGGGGTGGGGTGGGGTGGGGTGGGGTGGGGTGGGGTGGGGTGGGGTGGGGTGGGGTGGGGTGGGGTGGGGTGGGGTGGGGTGGGGTGGGGTGGGGTGGGGTGGGGTGGGGTGGGGTGGGGTGGGGTGGGGTGGGGTGGGGTGGGGTGGGGTGGGGTGGGGTGGGGTGGGTGGGTGGGAAGGGTGCCCGTGCCCGAGTGTTGGTCCGTTGAACGGCCGCCTGGCTCTTGTCAAAGCTGCTCGGTCGGGCAGGCCCTCGAGGGCAAGCGCCTTCCGCCTCTGCCGGCAGAGGCGCATCTGCGCGTGCGCGGTAACTTAGATCTTCGCACTGAGGTGGGAGCCACGGGAAGCTTGTTCGGAATGAAATTTGGCGCGCCAGGCAGAAGTGGCCTGGTGGCGTGTCCGACAACTACTGGCCCACGCCCTGCCTGCCCTGCAGCTGGTGCTGGACATGGGAAAGGCGGAGCGCAAGGCAAGGGAGAGGAGTGGCTGCACCACCCAAGTTTGCTCTGCCCCGCAGGCTCTATCCCACCTTGGAGCCGTCCGTGTTGGCAGGGCCCGCTTGCGGATCCGCGCGAGGCTGGTGGGAGGACGGGGTCAGCGGCAATGGCACTCGCGGATCCGCGACACGGACCCCCATGAATCGCGTGTACTCCAAGGCTTGGGCCGAGCGGCATCGGGCGCGCGCTCGGCATCGAGCACTCCAC